TACAGCTGAAAAGATCATTGTAATGAAAAGCTTGGTTAGTTGTAAAGGATTATAAATTTATGTATGCTGATGTAAATTTTGTTTAGTATTTTGCATATATTACATATGATTTCCATCTGTATAAACTAAATTTGCAACCCTGTGTTACCCATCCTGGCATAGATTTATTTTTTATTAAAAAACAATTTTTTTTGCAAGAGAACAACAAGAAAAATACTCCTTTTTTAGCCTATTATGCACTGCGCAAAATAAACAGTGCTTAATTTATACGGCTTTTTATTGTTTAATAGATTTTTATTGTTTACTCCCTGCACTGCTGGTCAGATATTTTTGGATAAATTTCGTATATTTTTGTAACAACTCTGGATTCTTCATTGCAATATCTACTCTACAAGCTCTACTGTAACGTACTGTACTGTAATTCGTGTGGCGCCATCTTGTTAGTGTGTAAAATGTAAAACTACTGGCTTTTAGTGAAAGACAATTGTTAAGCTAAATATATAAAATTAGTCCACCGCTTTATTGACGTGGATTGCTGATTAGTTCTACTATATTAATCAATATTGTTGCAGCTGTTCGTCTCACTAGTTACCTTGAAGCCGAGTATTTTCTTATCGGAAGCTAAAAGCTAATCTCAAGCAGTTTATATAATTAGTCGTCTATCTGTCGCGGTTTATTATGCAAATTTTAAATATGGCTTTACTGTCAATATGGGTTTTTTTTTTTTGCTAACTGACATTTTGTTTTGACCAAATCGGTAGTCTCTACGTAACGCAGTCATGACATCTAGTAATTCTGCGTCTCGACCACAAGGTGTCGCCATGTTGCAAAAACACAGGCTCTCTGGGCTCCTCTCGAGAACATAATACAGGTAATGCAGCTCTACACTCATCTACATGTACGCAGTTATTATTTGCTTTAACAATAGGGAAAACATTTAGCTATTTAATATTCATGAAAACATACTCACAACATACCAGAATAAAAAATAAGTGAATTTACACCTGAACAAACCTAAATGTCCTTTCTTGACCTTGATGGTGATTTCTAAAGCAGTTGCAGTTGTATGCTGTATATCAGATGTAATTTCAGTGCAGTTATTTTCTCAGACCCTGTTCTAGCTGTTAGAGAGGGTAATAAATGAATATGACATATCACACACTGTTATGCATGAATGCTAATGAGCATGTGCATGTTTTTAGGTTACAGATTGTTTTTGTGCAGTTTGCATGCATTGCTGCCATAGGTGAACATACCTTAACATCACTCATATGTGCATACCTGTGTGTGTGTGTGCACGTGTGTGTGTGTGTGTGTGCTGACTCTGCCTGACTGATGCAAAGCATGAGTTTATGTGTGTCAGTGTGTTGCTGTCTCATCCTTGCTGCTTTGCTGAGGCACCCCTCTCTCTCTCTCCCTCTCTCTCTCTCTCTCTCTCCTTCTCCAGCATCTCTTGCGGCAGCAGCAC